GAATTCCAATCAACGAGGCAACGACGTGTACTTCGTCCCCAAGTAGTGGTAAGGCCAGGAACCTCTAGTAGCGTCAAAGAAACACCTAACACCTAGTAGGAAGGCCAGGAGCCCCTAGTAGCATCCCAAGCTAAGGTGCCGACAAGAGGGAGGGGTAGGGAGAGACGAGAAAAATGAGAGAAAGAAAGGAAGGTGTTCCCGGCTACGACGCATGCGTCCAAGGACACACCAAAGGAAGAGAGGAGAAGGTTCCCAGCTATGACAAAAGAATCCAGGGACACCCAAGGAGGGAGGAAGGAGAGAGAGAAGGAAAGAAAGAAAGAGAGAGGGAGAGAAAGGGAGAGGAGAGAAAAAAGAAAAAGGCAGGTGTTCCCAGCTACGAACAAGCGTCCAGGGACACACCAAAGAAAGAGAGGGGTGATCCTGAGTGTTGCATTCAGGAAAACCCCAGGAAGCAAAGAAAGAAAGGGGGAAGGGGAGGGGGAGAGAAGGGACTAAGCTCGCGACAGGTTCCAATGAACCTTGAACAAACTTCGGTCGCTGCGACCACGTACGGCTTGCCCGAGGGCTGCCACCTCTGACCGCTGCGGTCACGTAAAGGCATTGAGCCAACTTAGAATTCCAAAGATGGGACAAAATTTGAGTTCTTGTGGCATAAGCCAGCTACTGTCCGCTGTGGACACGTACATCTCCGGGCAGGGGAGATAACGACGTACACCCGTTCAACGGGTCCACGGGAGGCACTCTGCGGGCTCATCCCGGGTTGGCACGAGGCCAAACACACTTAGGATAGGGTGTGCTGAACTGAAAGCGGTGCCACACGCCGGCCTAGGGTTCCAATTCCTAAGGGTACATGTACGAACCACTGGATCCTGGAGGTCTTCAAGAGGAAGTAGGGCCCAAAAGGAAGAAGAAGACGATCGACGAGCCGACAAGATGACGTCGTGTCGCGCATGTCTGCAGCAACATGAAGTACCAAGTCTTTGAGGTTCTTGGCTTAGCCTCACGCCATGCGGAAAATTGGAAAAATGCAGGTACGTTCGGCTGATCAGTCCGAATATCCCACTCTGTGACCTAGCTTCGTTGAACTGGGTCAGTCACAGAGTGCCCAGTTCCCCTGCTGCACAAGGAAACAACTGTGAAGCTAAAACAATCCGAAAGGATCCCTATGATTCCAAGGGTTACACACACACACACACATTTGTCCCATCTCGTCCTCCTTCTCACGTCTTCATCCTTTTGTCTTTGCTGCGCGCACACTTCCACAACCGTCCTAGCCTTAATTCTTTTTGCCTCCCCTCGGGGAGGCGTGTGTGTGTAACCCTTGGAATCACAGGGGTCCTTTTGGATTGTTTTTGAAGGTTGTTACAGTTGCAGGGGGGCAATCCCACATTGCAGTTGATTGCCCAACGAAGAGGCCTATATTGTGGCTGATATCCGGAAGGGACGCCTTCTGGGCGTACCTGCTTGGTTGTGGCGTTTACAAGCTGTTACTCCAACTTTTGGTAAAGCACTATAGTGAGTTCTGCAGGTGTGCACTTCGACCTGGTCGTCGCCTTCGAGCTTGAGCTTTTGGCCCTACTTCCTCTTGAAGACCTCTAGGTTCCGTAGGTTTGTTCGCCCTCTTCAGGATTTGGGAACCCAGGTTGGCGTGTAGCAAACCGCAACCAAATCAGCGCGCATTTCCAAAAGTGTGTTTGTGAGTGTGTCAACTCCTGTCTCTAAGGCCTTTGACCACACTAAGGATTCCTATACCTGTTAAAGCACACTCATTGTTGCCAGACTGTGTACAGCAGCAGGGGGCCAGGCAGGATACATCGTCGCCTGGTCAACAACGCTGGCGATGTATCCGAGCATATGGAAATGGGACGCCATTTCCACGTACCTGAAAAATTTCAACCCCCTTAAAGGGCTAGTGCAACTGGGACTTCGTCAACTGATTCTGCTCTTGCGAGCCTTTATCTAAGTGTGTATCGCCACAGAGTCCCACTGAGGGCTGTGGTGTGATCCCCAGCGAGGGGCGCGGCATGTGCACATACCCTTGAGGATGATCCTCCCTGATTCCTCGGATTGCACGTGGACTTCGTTGGCTCAGCGTCTCCTGCTCGAAAGTGCTGATTTTATGCCCCAGGGCTCACTGAGATACCCTCAAAGAATGACATGACATGCGGCTACGTATTCATAGGACAGGTTTTCGGCTAAGTAATCAGCCTGAGTCAGAATTTTTACTGAGATTTTTAAGGAGCATTCATTCATTGCTCGACACACTCACTTGTTTCGACTTTGCTCCGCCATCGAGCTCGACGCCGTGCACTACCCGTGGCATACTTCAGCAGCTCCCTTCGCGACTTATGGTCCAGTACCTGCAGTACCACCGTCAGTGCCTGCTCAATACCACACCACCTCCGAGTGATCCTCCATCACGCCCGGCCTGGCCTCCGATGTCATTTGCCCCATCAGCTCCACCACAGGCTCAACCACTACCAACTATGCCTCCACATCCAATCCGAGACCAACCTCAAGGCCGGCATGGCCCACCCACATGTATCCACCGCCGACACAGCCCACTTCTACGTATTATCCACCCACAGCTTCCCCACACCTTTCGACTCCGCCCTTTACGAGTGATGAAGAAGATGACGACGACGCCGCTCAACCCCCGAAGCACATTGTTGCGTCCCATTTTTCTCCACACCCTCCCTCCACCAACCCCTCAGAGTGGGCCGAATGACGGCTTTTTGTGTGTGTCAACTCCTGTCTCTAAGGACTTCGACCACGCTAAGGATTCCTACCTGTTAAAACACATAATTCACTCATTGTTGCCAGACTGTGTACAGCAGCAGGGGACCAGGCATGCATGATACATCGTCGCCTGGTCAACGAAGCTGGCGATGTATCCGAGCATATGGAAATGGGACGCCATTTCCACGTACCTGCAAATTTTCAACCTCCTTTAAAGGGCTAGTGCAACTGGGACTTCGTCAACTGATTCTGCTCTTGCGAGCCTTTATCTAAGTGTGTGCTCTATAGAGTGCGGAAGTTGGCTTGTTCACCCTTGTTCTTCTACTTATATAGCGCTGTTCGATGTCTCTTGCCAGGACGATTTTGGGTTTTGTTTCTTTGTTTCCGTGGAAAGAAAGACCTTTCGTATGCGCCTGGCAGGCGACAAGTCTGCAAGCTCTGCTTCGCTGGGTGGTGACGGCATGTCCTGTCATGAATACATTATATAACATGCTGTAATAAGCGACGCTCTTTGCGCCGAATAAAAGTAATGAAATCACATAGTAGAAACACCGCTGAAATTACTGTAAACACAACTGCACCTGCTCTTGCGGAGGTCTTGGCTTGGTGGTCTTGAGGACTTTTTGCAGATCACGTTCATGAGCCTGGCTCTGCAACACTGCCAAGTCTGCACAGCGTGACAATGCCCGCAGCTCCTGCCGTCGAACTGCCTCTTTTAGATCTTTGTGTAGGGCGCCAAGCTCATCGATCAACTCCTGACAAGTCGATTTGAGTGACTTGCCGTTTTCGACAAGGAAGGCCATGCAGAGGCGGAGTTGCTTTGCATCTTCACCCCTTTGTGCACGATGACCATTTTGGCTTACATCCAGAACACCAACTACATCCATCCACCTGCAAGGTTTGCATATTTTTGCACCATGTCTTGAGGATACACAACACTAAGACTTATTGCACCACATCGCAAACTGCTTACTAGGAATGCAACGTGGAAGGTCTTCAACACAATTCCGTCCTCAACACCTCTTTCACACTTCCAAGTACAGTGGCTGTCGCTGTCCTGTTTTTGGATTGCGAACGCTGATGGTCGCGTTTTCTGAAACATTTTGAGGCGCTACCCTCCACAATTTTTGTAAGTCGAATGTGTCAAGAACCTGCGAAACCTCTTCGCTGTGCGCATTCGGAAGCTCATAGGGCGATGGCAACTCCTGCAACCGCAATGGCTGAGTTGCCAGGTTTCGAGTTCTTTTCTGCAAAGCTGCCAGCAGTATTTGACTCGATGGTGCAGCAGGCTTAGAAAAGAATCTTCCCTAAAGTGACAGGGCATTACAGGACCAAGTCTTGCACTTGGAATGGCAGCAACTCCTTGTGCTCCATCACTGCAATGATCAAGGCCACATCAGCGGAACTTTAAAGATTTGTCATGCAACAACAATTTGATGACTGGTCTGTTCAATTGGATCTAGAATAAACAGTGGCAATGGTGGACAACTATAATCTCGAGCAGCAGAAACGGGCGTCTGAGAGTACCGATGTGTATTTTTTTGTGGAAGGTGAGATTCCAGAGTTGGCACCCAGAAATCCATGACATAGTATTCATCGATCAGAGCAAGGGGGTCTCTCCCCGACATCCCCGACAGCTCAACCCTTGCTTCGCAAAACAAACTTCTGCAACGACATTATTAGCGGCAAAAAGAAGCTACTAGTGGCTCCACGCATCGCTACTAGGAGCATTCTTACTACTACTACTAGCGGCAACATTTGTACAATCAACTTTCTGGGGGAACGGACAGCTCTACCCTCTTGCTGCAGAACCCTTTGAATACAGCACGAACAAGTGCTAGTGATGACTGGAACATTATATATATATTGTATACAATCGCCCTGTGAGTTACCCAGGTGAGGTGGTGTTTAAGCATTCTGTGGTTACAAATCAAACAAGTTGTTCTCAGAGGCCTACAGAATCACAAACTCGTGATCCAAGGTCAAAAACAGAGTCTCTACAAAATGCCCACGCACAAGGGCATTTTGGACAGGGACACTCTCTACAAAATGAGAAGGTTCTGGAAGGGGACAGGTACAGCATAAGAGAAACAGTTGTTCCAAAAATGGAGAAAGTGCGCATGATGCATTCTGTAGAGGGTACCACTTTTGCAAGTCAGGTAGAAGGATTATATACACATATAATCAAGGCATGCAAATTTGGGGTGGTTGACTTTGCAACTTGGAATGTCAGTTGTCGTGTGCATCTGTTGGTCTATGCGGCTTTTTCTCCCAAGTTCATCGTTGTCGGGATTTCCCGGTCCTCAGTCATGGACTGCAGCACCTATGTTTCATCTGCCCTGATGCTTAGTTTTCATTGACAAGACTGAGGTTGCAGCATTACTTGGTAGAATATACGAGTTATGGGCACGAACCAAACGCAACTCAGGACCAACAGCCCTAGTACTGACAGCCTGCAGCGAAGCGTTTGTGTGCCGAATTGAATCTTTGCAAATCTTGGCAATCGTCGTTCTGTGATCGGAAAAGTAGTTCTAAGTAGTTGCAATGTGCAAAGCTGAAACTCTGAGACAGCGCGCCCGTTCACTGCAACGAAATATAGAGGCACGTGTTCTGGCCTTGGCCCCAAACATGGCGGCATCACATGGTGGGTAGCACGTATTTGTTTCCTTTTTGTTGCCCCGCTGGGAGGCAAAAAGAAAGCACGTGCGCAAAGGCAACACAAACCTTGCGACCCAAACCCAGACTATGGTTCTGTGTTTTCAACACGCACAAGTAGGAGTGCCTACCATGACAATAGCCCGGTTGTATTTGGGTTGATGTTGTGTTTTGACAGTTTTTTTCATCAACACATATCTTCCTCACAAAGCACTCCTTTGGCGAAAGAGAGGACCAATCGTCTACTTTGCATTCCCCTTTCAAGCGAAGTGTGCACTTCCTCAAAAGATTTCTATATATCGCCCTACTGCAAAATGTGTGATTTACTGTATTTGCTTGAATCCTTGTGTAATATCACGCTTGGGACCCCCCGCAGTCCAAATAAAAGATCTCGACAGAAGAGTGAGAGCATAGCCAGCAGCCAAGCGATCCGAACAGCCTCAGAATCTGAAGGCCGAAAATGACCCTCGTACCTCGATTGTTTGACACTCACCTGAAACTGTGCCGTCTGAACACAGTACCCTCCCTGCAACAACTACGGAAGCTGACAACCTGAGGAAAATAGTCTTCCAGGGGCCTATATTCCACGTCGATGATTCTTGTGATTTCTTGTGTATACCCTGCAAAGAGCTCTTTTCCACAACACAAGTGCTTCTCCTACACAAACATCTAATAGCTATAAATCAAACATTGATCATTGAAAATCATTGATCTATTTACACCTTTGCTTTTACATGCCAAATTACACAAATTGATGCAAATTGAAAAGGTTTCGTTTTCCTTGGAACTGCAGTGTGATACGATTGGCCGTGCTTCTGGTTTGGGGGTGTTGCCAGTGTTTTGGTCCGTTTGGGAGCGCAGGGGCCGCCAGAAGGTATGGTGGTAATCCCACTACAAATCTTTGGGGCGGGGGTGGTGCTGAGTTTGCCTCCAGCAACCGAAAACTGGAATTCAATCCCGGATTTGTGTGTGTGTGTGTCCTTGCGGTGCCCATTTTGAAGCTTTTAACGCTGGAGCTCTGGACGGTGTTGGGCACCATGCAGGGTGCTGTGAAAACCTTGGGTGCTGCCGGGTCTTCAAACCTCATACCTTGGAACTGTGGGTGCTGTGCAAGGTGTGGTGCAACTTGGAACCTTGGAGCCGTGGGTCCAATCTCTGAGCGTGCTCGGGTGTGTGTCTGTGCCTTGTGTAGTGCGAAAACAAACCAAAGGAGCTTTGACAGGATGCCAGCCAACCCAAGCAACGCTGTGCAGGCTTGTGGCTTCTTGGGCCAATCGCCTTATGGGCTTGCAATGACATTGCATTTGCATTCTTTCAGGGAAAAATTATTGTTTGTGGTTGCTTTGCCGCTTTTGGTTCTCGTGTGCGCCCTCAGGTTTTCAACGCAAAGAAAAAGACAAACCAATGTCACTTGAAAAGGTTGGTTGTGGCCATAGGAGCAACGACGCTACTAGGGGCTCCTGGCATCGCTACCAGGAACAAGGGCATCGCTACTAGGAGCAAAGGACGCTACTAGTAGCTCCTCATCGTCACTTCTTGAGTCCAAAGGGGCAATGCCTTGAGTGGCTTGGGTCCCGGACTTGGGTGTTTACCATGAGTCAGGATGTCAGAAGGATCAAAGAAACACAATATTACATATTTTCTGCCTTCATGCCTCCTCAAAAGTGAAAGACACATGCTTGCATTTGGCACTGACTGCGGTCCTCCACCTCCCTCTCCTCTGCAAGTTGCTAGGGATTCGATTTCAGGGTGGAAACTTACTGTACATCTCTTAGCCAAACTTTTCGACTTTTGTGCAGCTTCTGAAAAACCCGTAGCACGCGGCTCCTGTCATTCTACGTGTTTTGTCTGTTTGGTTCAAACGTCGCCAGCGTGATTCAGTCGGCAGTTTCTTCCAGATCGAGGCGCGCAGGCTACACAGCAGCCGTGAGTGTGTCCTCTGGCGGCCGCTCCACCGCACCCGCCAGGTCAACTCACATGAAGCTGCTGCTTGCTCTGTCAGAAGACTTGGCCGCAAGAAAGAAACAACGGGACCTACAAGTAGGTTGCTAGCAACAGCAAGCTAATGCCAGCACAAACTCTATCAGGCCGTCTACCTACCTACCTACCTACCTAGCTCGCTAGCTGTCTATTTCCGTCTGTGTATCTTTCTAATCTGTCTGTAACAACATACCCTAGCAATCCCTAGCATCTCGCCTCGTCGGAGATCAAACGCGTATATTGGCGCATTCAATTCATTTCACAACAGGATGAAGCGATTGAGTGCTGCAAATTTCCAGACGTGCGAAACCAACTGTGTTTCATCAAATGCGCTCCATTGACAGTGACAAAGAATACGTGTTTTTTGCGTTTTGCTGTTCGGTTTCGTGGATGCTTTCTTTTTTGACCGCAAAAGGCACTTCTCCATAACGGACAAACAAAACTCTTGTGTTCTGCGCACTTCAGAATCTCAAAAAAGAACACAGTTTCTTGGAAAGCTCTTCGGCATGACATTCAAGAAGATTTGCACAAGCATCCGTGAGAAGCACCACTCCCAACAGCGAATCTGATGTTCTATGTGAGGGGGCTGGGAAAAAAGGCACTTTGCCACGTAGTCATTCAACCTAATCATCCTGGCCCAACCCACACCCCGCAATGGTCGGAAACAGGAGAAGAACAGTTGGTTTACTTGTTTACAACCGTGCATAAAACGACACTATCTCATTTCTGAGTCACGAGCAAGCCAGCAAAGCCAAAAGCATGCAACGCACAACTTGTAGACCGGCCTCATGAGTAAACTCAAACATCACAACGAGAATTGTGATTTCTGTATCTACTCATTTCTGCAAAGGACCGTTGACCGCAATCTTGAAGGACTCTTCTGCTGTCAGGGCGTTTGATGGGCAATTGTTTATGTTTTGTGACTTAGCCAATGCACTCTTTCGTCCAGCCAGAATCCTGTCCAGCAAAAGTGGGACTAGATTGCCGACGGTGCAAATCTTGCGCAACATCGCCGAATCAATTCCAGCCGGCGTGCCCAACCTTCATCATTCGTGTCCCCACGAGGCCTTGTCAAGCGTTGTGTACATTTAGGAACGATTCTCAATTTGATGAAGCGCTCAAAAAATTGTTTGAGCGGCCGGCAAGGAGTTGTAGCTTCAGTCAGGAGCACCTTTGGGTAGGAGAAGCAAGGCAAAACTAGGCAAGGTTGCAAGACAGGATGCCTAAGAGCCACACAACACAACCCCAGAAGGTCCCTATTCTCAGCACCTCACTCAAATTTGGTGCACACGCAACATGCTCAACTCAGCTCTGGGGCAAAAACTAGCCAATTCAAAGAGATCGTTAAGGCCTCACCAATCGGCACATAGAGGGATTAGGGGTTGCCTGAACCTGCTTCAGAATACAAAGGCAAGACTTCGCAAGACACAACTCAGATCCTTGCTACTACGTGATGCACCCTGAAAACAAATGAACACTCAGCGTCGTGAAGCGGAGCACGAAAGCTTGCTACAGAATTTGCATGTCGGATCGAAGCTGTAAGAACTGAGTTTTGAAACATGATCAACATACATATATCTATTAAAAAAAATATATATCCGCCGACCCTGGCCTAGATGCCTAGGCGGGGCGGCGCCCGGGACAGCGTAGCGAGAAGCCATGGCCAAGGACCTGTGCTAGTATGCGGTCCAGCCCTTTTTGTCAGCGTAGCAGGACAGGTCTGTGGCCATCACCTGGGCTGCTACTACAGCTACTACCAGGACAGGTCTGGGAGTGGCCATCACGTGGGACAGGTCTGTGGCCATCACCTGGGCTGCTACTACAGCTACTACCAGGACAGGTCTG